TATTCAAAACCATTTCTTTTATTTTTTTATTTTTATTTTTGTATAACTTTGACAATTTCCCGGACACTTTACTCTCTTAAATGAAATAACAAAATTTTGTCGATATCGCTAACAACTTAAAAATATTCGTCGCTTAGTTAGCGATTTTTCGAGTAGTTTACGACAATAGCGAGAGCGAATATCGTTATAACAAGTACACCGAATATTAAAATCGTTAGAATTATCGCAAAGTCTTCTTTGCGATCCGAAAATCGTTATACTAGTCTTAGAGAATAGCGAATATCGTTAAAAATATCGTTAAGTCTTCTTTGCGATCCGAAAATCGTTATACTGTGCTTAGAGAATAGCAAAATCGTTAAAATTATCGTTAAGTCATTACAACGATCCGAAAATCGTTATAATACGATAGGAAGTTGCCCTACTGAGCTTTTATATTGTAGTAAAATAATTAAGCAGTTCTGAGTTTTTTGTGTGATAATAAAAGGTGTGGTTAAGAATGTGATACATGTGGTTTAAAAAATTGTCTCTTATTTTTAAATAATCCTTTTAATAATATTTGTAAATGGAATATTTTCATACATTTTATCATGGATAAGTATATAATAAGCAGCGGTGTTAGCAGAGACGGATTTAATAAATTTTAACTCAATCCGAATATCGATGGGTCCGCTTTTTATAGATTAATTTTGATGTGTTACATCAAAAACAATTATTGGAACAGTTTCAACAAATTGATCAGGCGATAAAAGTGGTTGCGGAGTGCGTCCATAATAACTCTGTTCAAATACATGTCATATAATAGAGCATACCGATTTTGTTCAACTTTAATATTAAGGTCATCATATGGATATGCAGTGTAGTTAAGGCGAACTTTTACATCTAATAAGTCACAATGTTTAAATTTGAAGTCCTAAAAGAATAAAGCGAGATCTTTCATTTTCACCAACCATTTTAACATTCCATAAGACATTCGTGCTTTTCTCTATTAATTGTTCTCAACATAGTAAACCGATATGAGTCTGAAAGCTCAATATGTGGCACTTTCCATGTAATATTTAGAAGTTTTAATGTTCTTTATTTTCTGTAGTAGTCTTCATAACAGCATCCTCTTCATTAGCTCGTATTAAAACTAATTCATGTTAACATTTAACAATCATTTTATCAAAATCTTCAGCAAATCCAAGCAGGTTTTTCAATGGTAAACAAAAATTAAAATGTCCATTCTTTAGGGGAATATTTTCAAAAGGGCACCACCCCCCATTTTTTGCATTTGTACTCTCAAATTTGTTAAGTGATACATTATTTTTCATTTCTGTTGCAATACCCAACTTTCTTGTGCGATCAATTTCTATTCCATTTATTTCATGTCGTATCTCCACGAATAAATTGGACATACAATTATTTAGCAGCTGTACAGTTTTTGAAACTATTGACTCACTATTTGTTTTGTACCCCTCAATGTATAAAATACTTTCATTTGGTAGCAAATATAGGTCTTGATTTTGTATGGGGATCCGAATTTCATCATTGTTTTGAAAGGATTGTAAGTATGGTATTTAGCTATTACTATCTAGACTTATTAGAAACTCCTTATTCGATGAATGATAGAATTTTCTTCTTTATGACGTCGATTTTTTGTTTTTGTAACCAATACTTTTGAAGATGATTGAAAACTATTCGAAAAATCGGTTTATAGTTGCTTTTTATTAAAAATTATCATTATTTATTTTGGTTAGGTTATAGGTTTTAAATGCAGTCTTATTGACATGTCTTCTCCACGAAAATTAATCAAGTTACCCGTTTGATCAACAACTTTAAGAACAAGAGTGTTTATTTGTTGAGTATTAACTGCTAAATATTGTTACGATTTTACTAAATCAACCTCGATTATTTTCCGAATCCTTCGGGTACGATCTCTGGATTGTTAAATAAAACTCGCCAACTTAATTTGCAGTATCGTTCGTTACAAAGAATTTATCTAATGTCCTTTATTTACTCCGTAATGCACAATTCAATTACAATGCACTTGACTAGCTACAATCACTTGCATAAACTTTCACAATTTACTCTACTTAAATGTAATCTCCAACGCGTTTACTTTACGACTTAACTGATGTTAACGCCAACGAGCTCACTTTGTAACTAACTTGACTTGCAGCTGAGTGTCGCCTTTATATAGCAGTCGGCTGCTCGCAGACGAGAGCGTAGAAGCATCGAATTGTTCGCTATGGAAGGTTCTAGTTTTATCGTTTCTAGAATGTACTAATTATCGGCTTCTCTCTTTCATCTGACATTCGCCTCGCATTTTCGCAACAATATATAACATTAAGAGGTATTTCTGAGATTTTATATCCTGGGCTAACTCTAAGAGAAAACTGATGTATTGTATGCATAGATGTTTCGTTTATATATGATCCATTGATGATATTGCATTCAACGGATATTGTGTTTATTTTTGTTATATCCTCTGGGTCAGAGTAATGAACAATCCCTGGCTCCAATATTCTTTTACTGAAACCTAGTAATGAACCAATTGAGCAATTTTTAGTAAAATTCACTTCTTCATTATTGCTCATAATTTCAGTTCGAAATGTATTAGGATTAGCTTTTATGTCAATAAAACCTTGATTCAAGAGCTCATATATGTTGGTAATTCTCTGAACTATGTCATCCAGTTCATATGTTCCAACAGGTATCTCAATAACAGTCTTAGAAGAGAATCCTAACCTTTTAACATAAAGTCTATTATTTCGACGTCTGAAAACTTTTTTAGCTAAATAGACATGAGGGAGTTTAGTTTTCATCAGTTCATGTTAATAGAATCCACCCTTAATAGTATTACAATACCTTGATAGTCTTCAAGTAGATATGTTGTAGGATTTGTGTTTTTAATGGATTTTATTTTAAGAACTTCTGTCGTCCAATTTGGTGTATACCTCTTTTCAAATACATGTGTATATTTACTTATTCTAACCTCATCATTTGTTTTACATTTTGGTTTATGAAAAACTTTAAAAATTTTTGTATGCGGTGTCCAATAATGTTGTTCATTCAAAGAATTGACTTCATTCGGAGTCATTCTGATGGTCCTGTGTATAGTGTCATTAACTAAATTTTTCTAGATATCAATCCATTTATTAGTTCCTCAAAAAGTAAACTCTTTCCACATCATTCTGTTTGATGTTCTATTGAATCGCTTTATTATAGGTGCCTTTAATGATAAAAATATTGAATAATAGTTAATATTTTTTGTTTGTAATAATCTCTTAAAATTAGTATTATATAATTCTTTTCTATCATCTGTTTTCAGGTTTTTCGGTATTCGGTTACTTGAGTTTAAAATCTTAGCCATTGCATTTGTTACATTTTCTTTAGTTTTATTTTTGATTGCTTCGATCCAAGCTTTTTAGAAAATGTATCGATTACAATTAAAAGATATTGATACTGATTATTACTATTTGAATATTGAGTCATTATCACCAAGTCAGCTTGCCATAAATCATTGATTCCTTTAATAATAACACGTCTTCGTTTAAAACTTTTTCCAGCTTGCATACACGTATGTAATTCTTTTACAATAGCTCTTTTGTTATTCGTTTCATTAATACTTTTATAATATGGAACTTTATTTTTAGCCCTTCAACGTCTTTTTCAGTAGGATGTAGTTTTATCACAACGAAACGCATCAAATAATCTTCAACAGTTGATAAATAGTTGATCGTTGGTCTATGAGATCCTCTAGGATTATTGCATCATTTTTAATACTATTATTCAGGATTACATTTATTTCATTGATTTGATTTGATTTGTTCTAATTTGTTTTTCATCTTATTTGACGTTTCTAAAAGGATTACTTGCGAAATGGCATCATCGTCTTCTATAGGAGCAGCTAGGTTATTAATCTCGTTTTGATGGTTTTTATGGCCGACACTTGTTGAAGATATAAGCAATCTCAATCTATCCACAAACTCATTGATATATTTGATAAATATTTCTACGGCAATCAATTGATTTCAATAAACCTCTACTACTTATGAATGAGTGTGAATTATAATTAAACAATTTCCTAATAATATAAAAGTATTTAAATGATTTTGTGCCCTTAATTTTACTATTGGGATTATAATTACGTTTGTGGGCACTTTTATCTAATAAAATTTGTCGATAAGTCTTCAAATCACACTTTTTATAGTGCTGTGGCTTTTTATGAAATATTAGCTCAAACAAACCTGGTATTATTTTCCAATTATCCTTTTTGATCTGTATAACATCTTGGAATTAATGATTTCAATAGCTTCTCGCTCTTCTGGCTTTTTGTCAATATTTGATTTAATTTTCATTACATTGCTTTGTGCAGCTGCTTCCAGTAATTCAGGGTCATTCATAAAATTTATTTTTTGTTAAACGCTAACAATTCTATCTAATTTTTGTTTTTTATCAAATCATTGTTCATTCATGATATTAACAGGATTTCGCTTCATAACATTTTGTTTCCGAGAACTACCTGGAGAATATTCTAAATCAAGATCATTAACATTTATATAATTTTTAACGGTTGATAATGTATCAAGTTTCATGTCTTCACTTTCTCTTACACTGTCCGCCGGCCGAATTTCATCATTACCATTGAAATTAGTAACATTATATTTATTAGAGCTTTTAAAATTATCAACTAATTCATTTAATGGTTTTGAAATGGGCTTAACTGTATCCTCCAACAAGTTTATTCTATCCAATTCTCATAATTTTATTCTCTCAAATTTTTCTTTTAATATTTTTCTGGTCTTAGCAATATTTGCTAAAACAGTCATCTGTTTATTTTCCATGATCTTTAACGAGTGATTGAAAATCTGCTACCTATCAGTTGTATATCCGATAAGAATTTATTCTGATATATGTTTTTATGGATGTTTTATAATTGTATGAAATTATCAAAACCCTTTCGATATCGACTATTGTTTATAGGATCATCTTTACTTATAACAACAAAGCCGTATTTATTTTTCCAAGATTCAACACAAAGTTTTAAGAATATTTTATTTAATATATCTCCAATAACATGATCATTATAGATATGCTTAAGATTCATTTCATCTTGCTTGAATACAATAATCATGTTCGCATTATCACGAATTAGGTGTTTAGGAGTTTTTGTATAAGTTTGAAGATTTATTCCGTTTATCGGATCAATAAGCCATTTAAGATAGATGTATTTCGGTTGATAAAATGATTTTAAATAAATGAATATATTTCGGAAATTAAGTCCGTTTGGGTTTTCAATTACTGAGCATAACATTAGTTTTTCCTCAATTTGATGGTCCCACAATTAGCGCTTGTATGGAATTTGGTAAAAGTGGACTATGCCTAGTAACATTTTTAACATTTATATAATTGTCTGCATTATTTACCTTAAGTTGGAGATGTTGTTTAACTACTTTCATTTTATTTACTAGATTTATAGCAATATAAAGAGGAGATAAGGGTATAAATGCTTTAGATACGGCCTGCAGTCAACATGATATTGCATATTCTCAAGCAAAAGATATAAATACCAGACACCAAGCTGATAAAGTTTCATCTGAGAAAGCCTGGCAGCGTGCTGCATCTAAGGACCCTGATTTCAAAGAACGAGCAAACGCTTGGCTCTTACAAATGCTATGAAAGCAAATCTCAAATTGGGAATGGGCATTTAAAATAAGAAAAGAAATGTATCTAAATGCAAAAAACGTAGAAAGATGAAAAACGGAATAGTATCATCTAACAACATTTTTTTGATGACAGTTAAAAAAGGTATAAACATTCTTAACAAAACGAAACCGCGGTCATTCAATGAGGCTTATAAAATTTCTCAAGATGTTGTAAAGTCTAGCTTTAAAAATAAAAAAATAACATACAAAGAATAATTCCGGTTCCGAAAATTGGTGGAATTTCACCACTGCTTCCTATTTTAAAGGCGTTTGGTGCACTTGGTGGTATAGCATCTGGAGGATCAGCTATAGCAAAAGTTTTGAATGACGTTAGGAATGGAAAGGAGCGATTGGCTGAGGCTAGCCGCCATAATGGATATATGGAACCAATCGCTATGGGTAAGGATTTATTCCTCAAGCCATATAAAAAAGGATATGGTTTATACTTACGACAATTACCAAAAAACTATTTAAACATCTACCGAAAAGACCATTAACAGATGTAGATTTAATGAAATATTGCAAACATCTTAAATATTTCAGGGGAATTTTTATGCGAAATTCTTTACCGAATAAACCGAAATCTCAAGAATGTGAAATTCTTAATTTAGATGATGCTGATGGTCCTGGTACTCATTGGGTAGCATACTATAAAAATTAAAATTATAAAGAATATTTTGATAGTTTTGGAAATTTACAGCCACCGGTATAACTGATTAATTACCTGAAGCCACCAATATATTACAATTATGAACAGAAACTAAAATATAACACAGTAATATGTGGTCAATTATGTTTAAAATTTTTATTCAATAAAAGATAAATAATGTAAAATATAAATTGATTAATTATAATGTAAGATATATAGATTCTTTGATTATTTTTTATTTATTTTATATTACAATAATTAAGTACTACTATAGTGTTTCAAAATGACCAAAATCATATGTATCAATGCATTTTCGCTCTTAATCCAATAAATTCTTTTACTTACCTTCCTTCTTACAAAGTCATCAGTTTGAATATCATAAATGAATGAATCAGTATCCATATAATTCAAAGCAATATTATTTTTATATTTCTCTTTAATGTTATCATAATGAAAACTATTCATTTTAAATTTAGAAAGTTCTAAAACGGAAAAACCATTATATATCGGTTTATTGTACAGAATTGACACTTGTTTCAATTGAATCGCTAATAAATTATCAGAAAATTTGACTATGGAAATTGGGTTTTGCTAATAAAGCTCTAGCACCTAATTTTTTCCTACCTCTTCTCCCAGTATTAGTATTTTCCTAATTTTGTACTAATTTAACATCTACTCTTTTATCTACATTTTCAATAGTTTTCTCATAAACCGCATTATTTAATAATTTGAAAAAAAATTTCAAACTTATTTGCTGCTAATATTCTATGATAATTATTTAAATAAATATATTTTTTTAACCAATCAGATTGATTAAATTGTAGAATTCTATGAATTTTCTTCAATATAAAACCATGTTTAATACATTGATGTAAATTTTAATAATGAATAATATATTTTATCTTGTTTCTCAAATCACCAACTTTGAGTTTTTCATTGAGCCCACTTTTTTACTTTCAAAACAAAATGGTAAGTCATTATGAATATTTTGGATGGTTATGGGGTAATCTAAATCTACTTCTAATATGTAACCAACTAAAGAATCTGGTATTTAAGTAAACGTTAAACTCCTCTACGTTTTCAACCCATTCAAAATTGCTATGAGCAAGATTGTGTGACATAGCATAACTATACAAATTATTAATATTTAAATAAATTACATAATTTGAAGACTTATTCACATCGTAATAACTTAACACTTAATAAAATTGCAGTAGGCATAAGGAATATGTTCTTGTACATATTGAGTCCTAGTATAACTTTGAATATCTATTGGCTTTAGAATACATTCGAAATCTGCATATATAGTAAATGGTACATATAATTGTTTTTTAAAATTTTCAAATTTTATTATTCTTTTTTCAGGCTTAGGCATACGTGTTACAATTTTTCTGCAATGCATTTTATGGATAAATAATTCTTCTTCCTTATAAAAATGTATTAGACAAGTATTACAAATATATAATTTATGCTTAGCTCTTGTAACTTGAGATCTAAGTAATTTATTTAAACTCTTTATCCAAACATAATGGCTTTCATTGAAATTATCGCTGTAATCAATTCAATATGAAATTATTTATTGTTTCAATAGTTGAATCTTTTAACGATTTGTAGGATTCCGGAAGAAAAAGAACAATTTCATCTAGTTGAAACAACGGTCGCCTCAAGCACTTGTTGTGTTTTCACTGAAAATACGTTTAATTTATGTTTTAATATATTTGGTGTGGAACAAGTAGCAGCGGAAATTATAGTTCGGCAAACCACAAGTTTCACACTACTGGTGAAATTATTGTGGGAACACATTTGAGTATCAAGTAGACAGTGCAATAAAAAGGAAAAAATGTCTTTTCCGAAATATATAGAGAAGTTTTTAAAAAAATATGACGATTTAATTGATAATGAACATCAAATATTATTTATTCTATAATAAATGATGTCTGATCAGAGCCATTCATATATTCACCTAATGGATTACACAAGAAAGATTGATTGATAATTCCCGAAAGGTAATAATAGATACATGTTATTGTATTTCGCTGTATTACCGATTTAAGGAGCCTAGATGTTTGTAATAATCGTGAGAATACATTTTATCAAATCACGAAATGATAAAACTGAAATACAAGAAAACTTACATATATAAAAAAAAATATATAAATAGGAACTGTATTTTATAAAAATTTAATTGTAATAACATACTTATGGGAATCACATTAACGTGGAGCAATGGATTCTGAAAATATGTAAACTTTGATAGTGAACAACAAATGTTTAATTATGGGATTGATCAAGAAGAATTCGATAAGATGTGAAAAAGTTTCGATGAAGAAGAATTTAAAACGGAGCTTCAAAAATTAGAGGAACCCGCTCAATCTCTACAAGGTACAACTGAATTGAAGACATATGTACCACATAAGCGTAAGAGACAACGACCTTCAAAGGCAATACAAGCTGAAGGTTCTATAAAAAAAAGCCACCCAACAAAAACCAACAACCAAAGTCAAAATAAATGTATTGATGTTTCGAAACAACACTAGCAGCTCTTCCCATAAATGGAGTTATAAACACTAAAGGATTATTAAAAGATAAGGTGGAACAAACTCCCTCAGTTGATGTTAATTTTAAAAATGATGAAGATATTCAGAAATTAAAATCTGTAATATATCAGTTGTTTGTTGATATTGAAAGCGGAAGATATGGATATTAGCTGTGATATTTAATGGATTCCTGAAGATAATCTTCTTAATGAACTTTTAGAAATCGTATATAAATATAATATTGTATAATATATACTTCAAAAAAAGTTTATATGTATTTATTAAATCGCCTGACCGGATAGCTATGCCCTGAAATTGTAGATAGTATCCCTGCGGTCGATGTCGCCATCGATAAGACGATACTGCACGGTATTGTGCAGGATGAACGCTAAGAACCCACCGTGGTCTCTCTCGCGATCCTTGCGGACGCTGACAGCATGGGGCCACATAACTCGTGGTCGATTCCCTGTGAGTCTTAAGGCCTGGGCAGGTCTTAATATGACTCCAACCATTGCACTGGGTGCATCTAACCGAGTTGGAGGAATGGTCGAATCTTCTGTGACACACAAGTCGAATGCATTCTCATGTTCTTCATTTCATGTAAAATATGCTTATTTCTTTAACAGCTTCATGACTGGTGCTGTGATGTGGCTATGCTTCTCCACGAACTTTCGGAAAAATTCCGTTAGTCCTTGAAATTAACGCACCTCGCCCGCATTTGTTGACTTAGGAAACTCATTAATGCACTGTGTCTTCTCATCGCCTGGAGTTATACCCTTCCAGCTAACGTTGTGTCCAAGAAACATAACGCTTTCTACTAAGAAACTGCATTTGGACGGTCTCAGTGTTAGCCCAGTTCGACGTATTGCACCCAAAACCTCTTTCAATACTAGTTGACCTTCTTCCACTGTTGGACTAGCTATAATTAACGTAACTAACGACCTTGTCGCAATGTTGTAGACTAGATGTCAATTTTGTTATCATTTTCTGAAAATGCATCGGTGCATTGGCATCGGGGGTCTGGTAATTACCAAAAGGCATAACGATGTATTTACACAATCCCTCAACGCAAGGTCATCGATACACATGCGATTTTCTTTATTGGTTTACATACAGTTGCTTGAAGCGTAAAATATAGTTTGTAAATTTTCCAGCGAATGCAGTAAATTGTTGCAATTACTTACATTCACAGCCAGTAGTGTTCGTGTCATTGCTGGATCATTTAAATTGTTAATCGTGTAGCAATTAATCGAAGCATCGTCTATACTCCCTTGTCTTCCGAGAGATAGCATCGCTTAATAAAACTCAACCAGAGTCTCACCAGATCTTCGTTTACGCCATCCTATTTCCCTGTGAATTTCCGCAGAGAAGGAAAACTTTTTACAAGTTTCCTTACAAAACTTGCCCATGACTGAAACACTGGTTGAGCATTTATCTAGTCCTTCGCACTGCCTTTAAGTTTCTGCTGTGCTGCAAAAAGTAACATATCGTCGCTCCACTTATACGTTCGCTGTGATTGTTCAGTCTTCGTCGCAAACTGATGCGCCGTATTTGTTTTCTTTAGTGGATCGAATTTAGGTATTTTAGTACCTTGGAGTCTTGGTGCTTGTTGAATATCTGACGCTGATCGCGAACTCTTGCTTCCATCTAATGTGGTGTGCTAATCGTTGCTGCGTTTATGCGATTGTAGCCATAGACTTTGCTAAATCAACTATCATTTCCCTTTCCGTAACAATTTATTTAACTGAGTAACATTTAAATTGTCTAGCTTTATTGACATTTTCTTACCAATCAAATTTTTAAAGAACTGTTCTAAGTATTGTTTTATACAATTTCTTGATCATTTGTTTTTCCGCAAAGCAAAATTGATGTGTCTGCTACGATGTCCGAAGTAGACTGCCCAAAAATTTACTTCTTTTGCTTTACTTTGGCACCACCTACTTTTCTCCGAAGTAATATTTGATTCGTCGTCGCTACTGCCCAATTCAACTTAACCGCTGCTTGAAAGCTGTCGTTGTCATGTATTTCCTGTGTATTTTCCCTTTCCTTCATGCGTTGTACACAAGCGTTGTAGAATTCTGCGAGTTATTTCCGTTGAGCTAAAAGTTGCTTCCGCTTGTACGTTCTCGTTACTTTCCCCTTCATTGAGCGATACGTTGCTTCGTTGAAAATTTGAATTTCACTTTTTCCATTGGGAAATACTTACTTTTTTCATTTAATAAATTATTAGATTAACATGTAAGATTATGTGAATGAATCCTTCCTCTGAACTATTTGGAATGGAATTCGACGAGTGGTCTAGCACTAACACAAATTAATATTTATTATTTAAAGAATATATAGTAAAAGTTTGTATGTAATATTTAATGTCGACAATCAAATGGTCTCGTCGAACCTTCTCTATCGACCGCTCGTTCATAACTAACTCTACCAGATGACGTTCACTTAAATGTCGTTGACAAATGAAGTATCGATTTTGATATATCATATATCCAGGAACGTTTAATAGGGCATCAGTCTGCCATTTAGATATTGAAGGCTTCGCTATATGGGTACAAGGTGACAACAAGTTTATTACATTAATACCAAAAGTATGCAGAGAGACTCGTTTTTGAGAAGAATGAAAGAGTGGAACA